ATGAAATCTGGTGTCTGACCTTCGTATGGAGTCAGTAATCCATGTCAGTTTTAGATTTTTCCATCTACGATTTTCTCTAATATTTGCAGAAATCTATTAAAGATCTAACTGGCACATTTACCTGTGAGCTACCACAGAAACACCACTTTAATGATTTACTGTACTGTATAAAGAACAAAAATCTCTAAACAGCTTGCAATACACATCAGAAAACATCACTGATTCTTGTCTAAAACTGCCTGGTGCATTCTGGCATTTTTGTTTCTTATGTTTATTTTGTTATGACAAAGAATCTGCCTTACCTTCCATCACCAGCAAGAGTAAAAAAGGCTCAAATTCAGGAGAAGCAATGCAGTCTGGAACATTACAAAAAGATTGTTATCATGCCCTGAAAATAACATCTGTAAGACTTTTATTATGGTTAGCAAAAGCAACCAATTCATTCAATATACTGAATACACACCTCTGAACCCACCCATAAGAAGCATTGTGTGGGGAGAAGCATTTGTAAAACTAATCATTTGTTCTTAACTGCCTAAGGATTTCTGGTTAATGCTATTTAGTATTGCTGTGCATTTGCAACTCTTCTCTTGTTTGTGCTACATCTTCAACCCAGTAACTCCTACAGCACCAGGGAGATGAGTCAAATCCTCTTTTCTTGTTCTTTATTTTGCTTAACCGTTCCCTTCCAGTGCAATGAACGCAGCCAGAATGGACTAAAATGACATGGCGTTGGTTTGAATCTGATATTGGTTAAGCACGAAACATTCTCAACTACTGTATATCATCAGTGGTAGTTCACCTCAGTGTTAAGGTGCAGAGTATTCATCTGAAATCCGATTAATTTTCCATCTTCACAGCATTCACTGCATTTGATACTAATGGCATGGCCTTTATTAGAAAGAAACTTTTCAACACTCACAACTCACACTGTGCAAACAAGACTATTAGTAACATAATATCATTCCAGTAATGATCTTCATTACCAGCATATACATTTCTTTGGTGATTAGTTCTTCATTAACTTAACTGCAGCCCACAGAAGAAGACGTGAACATGGTGGGGTTTTAAGTCAGATATTTTCTTCCAGTTCATTAGTGATTCTCAAGTTCTGCTGTTCATCCTCACTGCAAGCAGCATATTATTAGGACTGGAGAAAATGGAGAACAACACAGGATGTAACAGATACACTTTGTGTTTTTAATATAAGCAGCAATGATCTTAATGCTTGCCGATGGTGCATTTTCATTTATTAAAGAACTACAACCCCCGGGGTATTTATGGATTTAGAATATATTCAGGAGTGAAACAGTGCTTATGCTACTGTTTCAAAGCAGATTCAAGAAATGAGATTTTGAGTTAAGTGCAACTAGACTGCATATGGTAAAATCCTTTCATACTGTGTTTCTCTTTTGTTACATTTCACCACATGATATCAAACAGTATCTTGGCCCCACTCTTTATTTCTGAAGTTGAGCTGCCAGATTCATGTTTAATTTAGCCATGTTCCATCACATCTTTAAAGGAAAGATCTCTTGTTGCTAACTTGGCCCTTTTGACTGATGTCACATCTTTATTTGGCTGATCCCTGATTTTAACTTGGCTGGTTTTTATATGAGGACTGCTTTGGCCTGATTTTGTCACTGGGGCCCATATGTCTCTGCCTGTTTGTACAGTAACACCAGAGAAACCCGTATCCCCCACTGTGCCTGACCTAACCTTCATCTCTGGAAAAACACGGCTACGAGGAACTTTTGCCACGTCAGATCTGGAAGATGGCAAGCTACATAATGTAAATCAGAATGAACTATGTTTATCTGGAGTTTAATTAATGGAGACTTATATGGATTCATTATGTATTGATCATGCCATAGGGTAGCTCCTTCTTTTTTATAACAGAAAAATGGGAGAAACACTTTAGTGCCCAAATATTCATGGATTTATGAAACAATACAGTATCACAGATCGCACACAAACATGCAAGCGCTCGAGCATTCTCACGAGCACTACTTTTCGTAAAGACCCACGCACCAATTACCACAGCACTCGTCCTTATTTAAACCCTCACTCCCTCTTGGACCTCGCTCACTATTGAGGTTTCCTCACCGAGCTGCTCATCTCCTGCCTTCTTCTGAAGGCTTTTCTCGTTTTTGTCCTTGCCGGTTTTTAACTCCCTACGAACGTACTCGACCTCGACCTTGCCTCTCGTTTTTGGTTTTGCTATCCTCTCGATTCCCTATCCATCTCCTGACCTGAATTCACTGGAGACTGCCACTACTCCTGCCAGCTGCGACCTGACATACAGCTGAATGCTGCCGTCATAGAAGTATTATGAGCTGACAGTCGTTTAGCAGACATTTTCATTAGAAGTGAATTACACAGACCCAGAGCGCAGCATCTGTATAGTCACGCATGATTATCTTAGTTTTGAGTACTTTACTGTATATAGGGAGATGCATAAGAAGGTCTGGTAACATGCTTAAAGAAACACTCAGTGAAACAGTGACACAGCTGGGTCTTGAATCAGGAGACACCTGATAGACGCTGGGCTGCCCAGCCTCTGTCATTTTCCATGGGATATAAATAATTTTGTCAGAACCATGTAACATGAAGAGAAAACATTATTCTGACTTCCATGTTTACATCAACTCAGCAAAACAGTCCCATCTATGATGAACTAGGAGGGGTAAGTTTGAAGGTGGCTGTGATGCAAAGTGATGAAGAGGGCTGCTCTTCTTCCTCACACAGAGTACCAGCGAAGGTGTGAAGCAGTATGCTTCTGTTCCAGACAGCACCTCATCCCGGTACTTTGTCCTTTCTATATAGAAAGTGTGTACAGATAGATGTAGGCATGCAGTGGGACACTTTGCCCATCGTTAGTTAAAAATGAAGTTGGGAGAAGATAATGAATCATCTGGCACTACCAGCACACAAGAAATCAATACTCACCATATATCTAAATTCTGTTTCAGGCACTAACAGTCATGGGCTGCACTTGAAAATTGCACCGTTAGCAATACCTTTCTTAGTGGCCTTTGAAGCCTTATTCATGCTTATACAGTGTTCATATGTAAATTGGCTTGGTAACTAATAACGAAACTTGAATATAGGATGGCTCATCATATTTATGTGGTATGAGGGATTAAACATCGCCCTTACAATGCTCAGGCAGAAGTCGACAAATCCTATGGGAGAATTTGCAAGCAGTTAGCAAAAGCTAGTCAGTATACTCTAATTTATTTGAGAGCTCCCAGACATTTTACTGTAAGGTGCAACACCTTGTTTCTCACAATACATACACACCCCAGTCTAAAAGCAGATCATTACCTCTCTCAATGACAAAAGGTCCGGGAATAGTATTTTCAAAAGTCTTAAACCAAAACCGTGTTAATTAGGACTTTGCTTTTTAGCAAATCTGATATGCTTTTTATTCCTAAGCCATGCAGCATTCTTTTTTCTGTTGTAAGAAAGTGACTGATGTTAGAAAAGCATTCCAAAGGGCAATAGTGCTGTGCTCATGAGAACTCAGCTCATCAACACAACATTAGAGATTTTTTTATTTTTAACATACAAATATGTAATGTCCAAATGTCATGACCCACACAAGTCAGACTCAGCACTAACGTAGGGTTGTGGTATATCCACTTGAAATCTTATCTGGTGATATATTAACCACTTCTTCATTTCTCTAAAATATTTTTCCACCTATATATCAGCAGCACACGTTACTGGAGAGCTTGCCCAACAAACATCAGTGGATCTTTCAGTGCTTCCAATCTTCTCAGACAACCACCACGGCTAAATGCTCCCTAGGTGGAAGAGGGAAAGTCAGTGCATTTTTTTCATGGAATGTGTTTTAAGCTGTCGAGCTATGCATAAGAACAGCCAAGTGGCATGGTCATGAGGGCAGATATACTGATCAGAGGCTGTAATCCTGTAACCAGCTAGGTGACAGCAGTACCACTGGTCAAGAATATAGAACCACATCCTGGCCTTGACCCTCTGTGTGCTTTAAGATGCTCTTCCCTGACTGTTAGATGAGAACAAAACTAGTCACCCTCTGCAACATGAAAAATGACAAGCAATGTACTGTAGGCCCCTGATGAACTTGCATTTCTTCATTTCAAACAGTTCCTGTGAGCACTGCTGTTTGTAGAGTGCACCCTGTGTGTACAAATGAACCAGAGAAGCTTTGAAATTTGTCCTATATGGGCTTTGAAGACTAAGCCTTCACTGTTTTGCTTGCACAATGGCATTCAATCATTGCTTGGGCTCCTTCATTTGTTCTTTTATTTTTTTTTTACAATTCTTCCCTCATTTTTTTCCCATTTTTATCCCATTCTGCTTAAACACAAATTGGATTTTCTTAGAAAAGCAGGCACCTGAATTGATGTCTAATCATAACAGGCACAATTGCTTAAGGCTTCAACATTAGACATTTTTTTTTCCTATCTTTCAGTTATTTGTTGCGTTTTGTTGTAATGTTTCAACGTCAGCACAAGTATTTACAGCCACGTACTGTTTAAGACAGTACAGCATAGCTTAATTGTGCTAGCAAAAAGCAACAGATGATTAATATTGGCCAGTTATAGACAAATCTTAGCCATACACACCATATTGTATATGTTATTTTCATATTATTTTTAATATTTATGATATATCTAGCATTCAGTATGTTCACTCAATACCAAGGCAAAATACTAACATGATCCAGAGCTAGCAGAAATACAATTTGGTCAGCTTTTTCAAACTCCTGAAAGGGATTATATTCAACAAACAGATGGTCCAAGAAATTCAAGCTTTCAAACCCACAAATAGGGATATTGTAAACTAACAAATATGTTCCAAATCCTCTTTTTAGAGTTTCATAACCTTGAAGAGAACCAATGCATAAACATCTGATATACCCTGCTCTCACCCTGACAAACAGACCGACTTCCTTTCTCTTGCCACACTAGGCTGTCTTTACACTTTTATCCCTTCTGTCTCCTTGGTGCCAGTCATTAACCAGGATCCACTGGTGTTTTCAGGCGTTACAATGAAGCTGATGGATGAGGTGGCTGGAATTGTGGCAGCGCGACACTGCAAGACCAATATTGTCACCGCCTCAGTGGACGCCATCAACTTCCACCGCAAGATTAAGAAAGGTAAGATTACAAACTTGAGGACAAATTCTGAACGATGTGGTTCAACGGCCTACTACCCCCTAAATAACAAGCCCTGTTGCTTTCCAGCACCTATGGTTTGCCTTTATTCTCACTGGTGAATTACAGCATTTAACAGCCAATTCCTGGCAGCCTTGCTCTGCTAGGGGCTAATCGAATATACAGTAGCTTTCTCCAGTCTGCTTATGATATCAACCCCCTTGAACAGATACAACATGGTAATGCGCAGAAAATTCTTATGAGTTCAAGTTTGTAGATTTTCCCACTAAGACAGGTAGGTATAGAAATCTAAATACTGTAGTCACAACCAAAGCTCAAATTGGACTTTCTCTTAATAAAATTGATCGATCTTACTGTACCTTTTACTTGCCAATAGACAATTGTCCGTTTTTTTTCACTCTGGTTCCAGCTGTTTTACCTTTTATGTCTTTGAGAAAAGAGAGAAACTAGCAAAAGACAGCAGATACTCTGAAGCTCCTTACTCAGAGTCTTTAGAAGATATTTAAAGGTGACAAATGACTTTTTATTTGTCTGTTGTACAGTTTAGTAGTTTTGTCAATTACAGTTTGGTAATCAAAACAAAGTAAGTCTACAATTCTAAACGGATACTGTAATTAATGCTTTAGTATTTGGCGTTACCTTACCTGGATAAGGAAAGGACAACCTGGCTCAAATTCAGACCTGTCACAACTCCCAAAAGGATCCCCAAAAACACTGCTGCCAATGTCCCCAAAACACTTTCTTCAGGTATTAGAGTGTGAGTTTTGTTTGAACAACTCAGTTGGGATATAAAGTTTTTACAGGAACCGATTGAGGAACACGTAGTGTAGTGTATTCCACTGCAGTTTGAAGTGAATAAGATGCTTGTATGGTCCACTATAAGCTTTGTGTGATTGAGCTGGCTCAGGTGTGCAGTATTTCAGAGGAAATCAGATGGAGAATGAAGTGAATTTGAGGCATGTATTATGCAGGCAATGGGACACATGGCAGCAAAAAATAGAAGATCAGCCAAGAAACCTGAGCTCACCTACAGTATGACTAGAATTCCTTCTAACCAGAAAGACTAGCATGAGGTGAACAGTACTGATGCAGAATTAGGACAGGAACCAGTAGCAAGTTATCACTTTCTGAAGTTTGCTAGAACTAAACTGAAGGGCTGCAAGCAGGCAGACCTGACCCAGTGCACACTGATGCCTCCTCAGTGTGGAGTGGACCTCAGTGGTCAGGGGGGTTCCTAAAGGAAGGGTGAAAAGAAGGATTGGGGATAGGGGAGAGAAGAAACAAAAAAGGCCGGGACCAGAACAGAATGTTTTGGATGCTCAACCAGAAAGGGAGAAAAAGGGAGGGAGGGAGATTAAGAGGTGATTGCAGAGGAGAGAGGGCAGGGAAAGGGAGATGAAGTGGTCGTGGTTGAGTCAAAGTTCCAGGGAGGGTTTATGGCATCATGAGAACCAGAAGATCAAGTATTATCGTAGGTATGGGGAGACAGTTGCTTTCTTGACAGAGCTGCTTGTTTGAAAAGAGGCAAGTAAGAGACAGGTGAATAAAAGAAAGGCAATGTCTAGCAACACAGTGTGAGATGCCTAACTCCAATGAGTACTAGGAAAGATTTGCACAGAGGTATGGACAGCAGGCAAGGATTTGTACAGTACATAGAGTGCAACATTATAATTTGAGTTCCTCCCAAACCTCTGTATAAAAACCATTTATTAAATTATGATTAATTGGCAAAAACTCCATGCAGGCACATGTATCTTTTAAAAGAAAAAAAGTAATTTCAAGACTCTCTCCTGTCTTGTAACTGTGGCTATCATGGGAGAATGAAGCACCATTGTCTTCGACAATCAAATCAGTCTTTGATTAGTGGCTTGTTGAACAGAGAAAGGAGGCTAGTGACAGTCAAAAGCAAGCAACCTCAAGTTTGAAGTTTGCAGTGGCTTATTAAAAACCATCCTTGCCTTCAACAGCCCTCTTGAATTCTGGCATTGTCATGAGTCACTGGATGCTTTACTGTTGAATGACTGGAGACTAATGCTGAGGGCTTAAAATCTGATTTATCTGACTGCTCTCCCTTGCTCCATGAGTACCTTGGCTCCTGCTGTATAGCTATGAAAATATAAACCTATTTAAATGTAAGCAAAAAATCTATATATTGCTTCCTTTGTTGATGTTTATTTTGATAATCTGTAGAAGTATTCATATGTTCATATTCATTTCAATGTGAAATACAATCCCTCAGTTCAAATGACAAATCTCAGAATCTCTCTTCAAAGTAAACTGATGACATACCTTGTATAATTAGTTGTCTGTAATTTCAAAGCAAGCTCTAGATTGAATTCCTTTGACTTTCTTAGTCATTGTTTCACTGCCATTCTTGTTTCAATAAACAATCAGTCTCGTATATAAACTCACATTCATACACAAGATAACTGGATTAATACTTCTCAAACCTATTTTCATTTAGAAGAAAATTAGTTATTTTCCAGTGTAAATATAAATATTGAATATGTACTCATTGGACTTATACCTTGGCCAATCCCTCAAAGCGATGGGATGCTGGATTCCAAGTTGCAACTGTCCTCTTCTTCTGCTGGCTCTGTGCCAAGTATGACTCATGGTGCAGGGAAAAGGGAAGGATTCCGAGCATTGCATTGTGCTCAGCTTCATTAGAAACTGTGCACAAGAGGACTCTGGACTTGGGTCTGAATGCAAGTGGGTCTAGGCTCTGGAGCAACTCAGAAGATCTGTTTGCTAGTCTTAGCTGCTGTGCTGAATATTCAGTGATATTCAGCAGTGTCAACAAAGGTTCATCTCTATTGTTTTGTTGAACAGGTAATATTATAAGTAGTGGAGCTCTCATAGGACTTTTCTTCTCTTAAGGCTTCTCTCCAAAGTCTTAGAAATCTGATTTGGTCTTCCTTAGTTCAACTGTTACCTTTAGCAAAGTCTCTTTGCAATTCAGGTGTTGGGAGTTCAGACAGTCACAATCGACTGACAAGTTAGTTGCTCCATGTGCCAGATGTCAAGAGGAGGGCAAGAAAGTAGAAAGAAATCAATTCCAAAATTCTGTGCAGGATTTTTTTAAGTCAAGACATCTAATTAACTGTGACATTTTCAGGTGCAGTACTCATTCCCACTAGCCCTATCCTATTGGCTCCTAGCCCTCTTTCTAACCATATCAGTGACAGTGATGCCCATCCAGGGTTCCCGGTTCAGATGTGTCTCCCTCTTTGTAGACACAGAGATGTTGACATGGACAGTTCATCATTGGGTGAATCAAAATTCACTCAGTCTATGATGTTTTGCTTTGTACCAGAACCCCAACACATCCTGCTTATCACATGATCATCTTACCAGCATTCCTTAGAAAATGACTCACAAGAGTGGAGTTCAGCAAGGGCTCAGAGTCCTAGCTACCCCAACAATCCCTTGTGACTGAACTAGTAAACACTAACAGTTTTTGTTGAGCCTGCTCATTTTCAGAAAATCTCAAAGCTCTGATCACGTTCCTGCACTTTTTCCACTTTACATTTCTTACATTCAAATGCCAAACAAGCACAGACAACAGTGGATAAATACAATTTTAAGTTCCACAATTTCACAGTAGGCTGGAATAGAGTAGGGTTGGAGACCATACATTAATTTAAAGTATGTAGCTATCCAAATCCAGTATAATGCATTACTGTATATGTTCACCACTAACTATGCAAAATGTGGCAAGACCTTTTCTAAAACAACATCACTAGGTCAAAAACAATGTACTCAAGTGCAGGTGATGAATTTTTTTCAGAGGTGGAAGGCTCAAACTTTTAGTCTCTCAAAATTCTCTACAATCTGATGCGTGGCTCTGAGTGGCTCTGAAGCTGTAGTTTCTCATACATGGCCAAGTTCAAATCCCAGCAGGGGCAAAACTGCAATATTTGAGTCTCTATCTGCTGATTGTACAGCACCCTGCATTAAGCAGTTTTCAGGGTCAGTGGTAATTGTGCATATGGTGCCAGTTTATGGTTGACTGAGAACCTAGAAAGACTGGTGTCATTAAGGCAGACCCCTGGTGCTTAATGCCATGGAACTACTACTCTGAGCTGATTGATGGCAGAACTTTAATTGTCTATTTAAAGTACTTGCGGTCTGCTTGGTTTAAAAATTCTGCACAGACACAGAGTGAATTTTGGACCCTCCAGGCTGTAGATAGTGTTTTCAGAGAAGAAGAATGTCTCTCAGCCAGATGAAAGTAATACATTTTTACCTGACCATTTGCCATGTAGGTAGTCTGTCCATTTCATGATCAGTGGGTTTTTCTTGATATTGTATTGCCAGTGAGATATCTCACTGTTTTTCAGCACCTCATTTTTTTTCAGAAAAGATATCTGAAACTCTGTTTTTCCCTCTACTGCTTTATCAAAAACAGGATCAGTTGGACACGTTTGTTCCGATGAAGGCTTTTGTGCTGAAATGTTGACAGCTTATAAAATAATAAATATATTCTGGACTATATAGTGTGCAATTGATCCTGTTGTAGATATTGGTTTTATTTCTCTGGACAGCATCCTCTTGACATTTGGAAGTCTTCTCTTCGCTCAGTACTGCTTTGACATAGATTTTTGTTTTAATGTCTGTTGCAGTGATCACTAGAAATTATTTTCCTTACAAGTACGATACATATTGCTTTATTGGTCATACATATTATAATTGATATCAATATATACAATGTTACCAACAAGTTTATTTATAGTCAATAGAGTAAACAAAATAGATTCTAGATTAGAAGAATGGCCTGTTAGACAAGGGAGGTGAAGCTATGCAAGACAAATAAAAAAGCAGCAGATTCTAGGTTATTTGACAAAACCCACGGAATCTGTGGGTGTATATAGGTACCTTATTTTTTCAGATCTTTGTTTGTTTTAAATTGCTTTTAAAATGAATCCCTCAGGGAAGAATCTTGATTGCTTCTTCAAATAGATTTCCACAGATGCCCCTAG